ACTTTTTTTCTTTTCTTTTGTATTATTATACTATTAAAAAATTCATTGAATGCTTGCTTCCTATAGAGACTGGGTTTTACTGCATCCTAAATATAGACGTTGTTCATGCTGTGTCATGCCATAAAAGCACCATTTTACTCATACGGCCGTATTTTGATGTTAGCAATACCAGCAAAAATCCAGAATAATTCTGCTAGCTTCAGAATTGTTCCAGGTTCAAGAAATATAAAGGATTTCTCACCAAGAAACAAAAAGGAAAAAAAGAATAACTTGCACTACTTTCTAACTGAAAAATCAGTTTCTACCTCCACTTCAGGTGAAGGTGAAACTTTCTGAGATTTTATGAACCACCCATTTCAGCTTTTTCATTGCATGAGATCTCTGAGAAAGAAAAAGTTGGATTTTACAATAATCAAGTTAATTGGTCAGTTATCAAGGTAAATAAATTCATGACATACATGTATTTTCACACTGTTATCCAGCCAACAGAAACCGAGAAAACCCTTTCTGTAAAATAAAATCCAGCATGTGTTTACGATTGCCGTAAATCTTCCTTTTTTCAGTTGTGCCTGAAGCAGGGCCATCACTTAAACCCGTTCTCTCTAGAATCTGTGTTTAAGTGTAATTATGGCAAAGCAAATGTAAGAGACCAGATGACCAGACAATAGCATCACAGAGGGAGAAATTACAGATTGGTTTGGTATGCGCACCGAAGAGACAGGATGAAAAATAATCAATAAAAGGGAGGTAAACTAAGCTGTCAATGCATGGACTTTAGTATCAAAGGGAAATAGAGTCTAAATGGTTCTAATTTTCACATAAATAAGTTGAGAGTGCTTTATGGCTTATTAAAAAGGTATTAGGCTGTATGTAAATATATTAAGCCCTTGTAAATGAAAATCTGACTCATTATTATTCTTTAGATTGTATTATAACTTTCTTAAAGAACATTTCAAGGAGGGGAGGGGAAGCAGGAAGAGGAACTACACATTGTGGATCTGATCTGAGTGCTGCAAAAGTCAACAGAAAGAATCCTACTGCCTCAAAAAGAACTTGGGTTGGACTCTGGAAACCAAACGCAGCAGCCTAAAGTCAATTATAGCCTGGAATTAGTTGGTGTGATTTTAGGCCAGCCTCAGAAACAATGTAGGCTACATACTGAGAGAATAGCGACTATAAAATCCAAAGGTGTTTGGCAAAATAACGCAGTGCATCACACCCATGGCTGTGCAAAGAAAATTTTGCACTCCAAAAATGAAACGTTAATGAGATTGGGAAAGGGAAGAACTGAATACACTTCAACTAATTGTTACTGAATGTGAGCCACTTGGACTCATTGTCATCAGTAGATGTAACCCTTGTTTCTCATATCATAGCATTTAGGGGATCTTCTTTGAGAGGTGTTCAGAACTACGTCATGAAATGGACTTCTACGTATTTTCACACACACACACACACACACCTCCCGTCGTATGGTCAGACTTGGCACCTCTACTTTAAGATTCTGCTGCAACTGTAGCTTATTCTTTTTAGGAATCATTTCACTCCAGCTTGCCTGTATGCTTTATTTTGATGATCTACCTTCCTTTCTGAAGGTTTTCTGAAATCTCAACATTATTCACTGATCATTCTCAGTCAAAAAGAAAGTGAGAACAGGGTACAAAACTCAGACCAGGAATGGAACCCAGACTTGGGCTGTCAGCCTTCCCCAGCAACTCTCTGGGCCTGTATCTAGGCTCTGGTATTGGCATGTGGCTCACATGGCCTTTGTCAAGGAGTAGGACATCTCTTCCATATGAGAGACAGTGGTCTCTCTCAGCATCTTTGTAGCCGTGATCTGAAGAACTGATGTTAGGACAAAACCTGCAGCCGGTGGCCGTGTGTGTGGCTGACAGAAGGTGGATTTGGTGGACGTATCTACGTGGAAGAGCAAAAAGCATGTGTGGGGACTCGAGACACTGTTGCTTCAGAGAACATGGCTGATGCCATCAAGTGTCAAAATTTTATTCCTTCTCATGGCAAAAATTTTTAATGTTAAAGCTCTAAAGCCAGCAAGATTAGTCCTCAAAATCCCCGGCAATTCCAGTACTTCGCAGCTACCTACAGCTTCTTGAAGGTACATGGAGTTCAGGCATATGGGTACAAGGGATCATGGGAGCAATTCCCTAGAGGATGTCGCAGAAAACCAGCTTCCAGCTGGAAAGCTAGAAAGCTTCCCTCCAACTATCGTTCTTGGCTTTCATTCTCCTTTTGACATTGAATTTCTGTGGTGTCTTCTTAGAGAGATGTTTGAGTCTGATAAAATATAAAGCTTATTTTAGACATTTTAAGAACTCACTTATGTGCCCTAAGTGCACATCTAAAGAATTCAAATTAAACCTCAACTCTGCAAATCTGAAAAAGTGCAACTTATGCAGCCAATTCCAGATATTAATTATTCATCCACGCTGAAGTAATCTATTTACAGTATATTAATGTGTATTTTGGCAGGCAACAGTATATTAGTCCTTTCCAACCTGAATTATCCTATGATCTGATTGTATTAAGAAAAATAAAATAAAAAATTAAAAATCTTTCCCCACCTGAAAAACAGGAAAAATACACTCCTCATTTTTCCTTGTCATCACTCATTAAGTCACATTTTGCCTAGCCCCACACTTGATAAAGGATTACACAAAACTGTTTTGGATTAGGTCTACTAGTTTTAGAAGTTCCAAATGATGTAACTTATATCACTCCAGTCACTACATATGGATTTGTTTAGGGACCTCCACGGGGTTTCTGTGTTGTCGTTCTGAAAACCCAATAAAGGAGCCTGCACTTCCCTCTCTGCAGACACCATGCTAATGACACGGAAAATAGACAGCTCGCTGGATGAACATCTCCCTGACATTTGCAGGGATTTATATGTAATAAATCACATTAAATTAATCTCACTTAGCTGGAAAAAGCATTATAAAAAAACCTCAGCTTGAAAAAAAGATGTTAAGAGCGCACGCTAATTACTTGTCACAATATTTCTAGCTGTGCTAGAGTTTGAGTTTTAATTAATTTATGAATTATAAAGCATTTTATTTTAACGGTGTATCCTGGGCTGTACCAAACATGTTAACAGGTATTCACCCAGTTTGTTGAAATGATCTTTTATACTATGTTGTTTAAGCAAAGAATGGGAAGCTTCACTGCTTCAAGTCTATACTCCTGAAAAAAACCCAAATGCAAACATTCCTCTTTTTTTAGTAAATATTAATGGTGGAAAATAATCCAGAATGGAGGCATTCATCAGAATCTCTAAATACACATTTTTGGGCAGGATGATCTTTATTGCCTTGTGTCAAGTGATATTTCTCACTGAAAAAGGGGCTCAGTTTTCATGTAGAACCTAATAAAGTTTCCCACCACTTCAGCAACACCACCACACTTATATTCTCCACGTCTCCTGACTGACATATGGGGTGGGGGGAAATGAAAGAAGTATTGACTTAAATAGGTGATACAAAAAATTACATCAGTGTAGTTCCAGCTGAAATGATTTTCAGTGGCTGCTGATACACTGAAACCTAATAGATTTTCCAGGTGAGGCAGCCATAGAGTTTTGCACCAATAGAGCCTTCAAAGCATGCACAGACCAGGCCTTACAGTAAATATAGATCAGAAGCCTCCTATAATTAGTAATTTTTTCAACAAGAATAGTATTTTTAAATAATGCTAGTAATTCAAAAAATAGTCATTTTTTTCAATAGTAATAAAAAGGTATTTTTTCAAAGCTTGTTTCAGATCAAAAGAACAATCAGACTTTGTGTATGCAAAACCAAAAGTAATCTAAACAATCACTGGCACGTGAAAATACCCAAAAGGCCATTTAAACGTGAGAAGTATGGAACATAAAATGGCAGGTCTAAGTATCCACTTTTTTTCTTTTCAAAATCCAGCTATCACTTCACTCAGTCAAAAAAAAATAATTGAAGAGGACCATAGGTTTATCTCTCTGCAGGATTTTTATGTAGGAGGTCAGTCACAGTAAAGACAGAAGTTTTAACCTTATC